TCCCTTTCCCCCTCCCTCTCCCCCTGTCTCTCTGGTCAAATTTAAAAAAAATAAATAAAAAAAAAAAAAAAAGACGCATGAAGAAGAGGCAGAGACACCTCTAGAAGGTAGGAAGCCATGTGAGCAAGGCTCAAGTGCTGGGATTCCTTTTTTGTTGGACAGGGTTGGCCCTCACACCTGATTCCCCGTCCCTGGTGTTCAGTCTGTCCTCAATGGTCTTTTCCTGCCTCAGAAGTATCAGTGACTGCTAGCACTGTTTCCAGTGATGGTACAAGTCAGAGGGTGCTATCCAGGCCCAGCTATTGGGGGTGGAAAGTAGAGAATCCAGTGATAGAACATTTGGAGACCAAAGCTCCTGAGGAGGCTGATGGAGGGAGCAGCACCAGCAGCAGCAGCACCAGCATGCTAGCTATGGAGAGCCACAAAAGCCATGGGCGTCCTTCTAGGAAAGGGACACACATGTAGAAAGGCAGGCAGGAATCACAGAAAGAAGCTAAAAGGGTATAGGGAGAGTTAAATAGTAGCTAGAGACAGAAATAAGAATTTGGAATGGTGGAGTGCAGATTCCTGGCATTCTTAGGCCTGGCATTTGAAGAAGGGTCCCTGTTTGGGGAACCCACCGCAAGGCCCAGGAGCAAAAGGACAGACAGAGCAATGATGACAGGAGGTTCACGTTGTTCTGCTACTTTCAGACGGTACCTGCTTGCATGTCTTGGTTCCCAGAAGTCTGGCTATTGAACAGAAGTTGTTAAAGTAGGTGCCGTGGAAGACTCGAAAAAGAGATTCTTCGGCCCCAGTCCATTCCACCGGCTCGGAGGGTGCTTCTACCACACAGAGCTGAGGAGGGGCTGGACTAGCTTTCTGCTTGGTAGGGGTCTGACAGCGAGAGTTAGCCTCTGCGAGGGGAAGAAATAAGAGAAACAGAAGAAAGTGGAATGCGGTGTCACTGGTAGATAATCACAAACTCAGAAGTACTTGGTTCTGCTGTAAGAGGCAGAGACATTACAAAGCAAAATATTCCTGACTTCTACTCTTTTAGGCAAACTTGTGGAAACAATGAACTATTTTATTTGTTTATTTAAAGAGAGATTTTTGCTATAGGGCATGTGTGTATGCTGGAGAGACAGAGACAGAGAGACAGAAAGTGAGAAATCACCCCTGGGAGGATGACCACACTGCAATCCCTTTTCCTCCATTCTATAGGGCACGTGCACTCGCCAGAAAGACAAAGAGAGACAGAAAGTGAGAAATCACCACCCCAGGAGGGGATGGCCATGCCATAATCCCTTCTCCTCCATTCTCCTCTTGGGATCTTTTCTCTTCCATTCTCCTCTTGGGATCTTGGGCAACGCACACACAAACACACACCCAGCATGATTTTAAGCCGCCGGGCCTGGGACTCGAACGGTGATCAACTACATGACAGCTTTCTCACTTTTTCTTTCTCTCTCTCGCTTTCTGTCTTTCTTTGGTCAAATTTAAAATAATTATAACAATAATAATAACAAATAAGGGGCCGGCAGGTGGCGTGGTGGCTAAGGGAACTGGACTCCCACATGGCCAACCATGGTTTAAGTCCCGGACCTGATGGCTTGCTTTCCCATTCTCTTTCTTTCTCACTCTGTCCCTCTCTGGTCAAATTAAAATAAATAAAGTTAAATAATTTTTTTTTCTTTTTTTTGGAGAGGTTTTTGCTATAGGGTGCATGCGCTTGCCAGAAAGACAGAGAGAGACAGGAAGACAGTGAGAAATCACCCCCCAAGGGGGAATGGCCATGCTGCAATCCCTTCTCTTCCATTCTCCTCTCGGGATCTTGGGCACGCACACACATGCACCCAGAATGAGTTTAAGCCACCGGGTCTAGGACTTGAACCACAGTCAATTACATGGGAGTCCAGCAACATAGCCATTACACCAACTGCTGGTCCCTTTAAAGAATTATTTTTATTTAATTTTATTTATTCATTTTATTTTAATTTGACCAGACACACATACACACACAGAGAGAGAGACAGAGAGAAAGCAAGCTGCCAGGTCTGGGACTCAAACCGTGGTCATCCATGTGGGAGTGTCCAGCACCTTAACCACCACGCCACCTGCTGGTTCCCCAATAAAATAATTCTTAAAAAAAAAAAATAAATAAAATATTTAAAAAAGAAAAGAAAAAGAAAAGTTCTTCACTTTCTCTTTACCTGAAGAACTGGAGGCCCAGTCGTTGCCTGTGTCCCTGTCACTATCTCCTTCTTTAGTCTCAGCCACAGCAGAGGTTGAAGTGTTGGAGCAGGAAGCACTGACCATGTGGTGCCTACGCCGGCGACGACCAGAGCACTTGGAGCGGGGGTTGTGAAGCATGGCATATTCCTTCGCTCCTTCCTGTAGTGGACACATTATGGATAGGTACAGGAACAGGCCTAGAGTCAACATATGGACCCCCTCATCACAAACCTTCATCTTCCTCAACTTCTGTGCTTAACTATAATGATACAATTAGTATTTATTCATTCATTTATTTTACTTTGACTAGGGGTAGGGGTGGTGAGAAAGCAAGCTGCCAGGTCCAGGACTCCAACCGTGGCTGGCCATGTGGGAGTACCCAGCACCTTAATTACCACACCACCTGCTGGTCCCCTATAATGATACTTTTTTTTGTTGTTCAATACCATATACTAAGTGTGACCATAAAATAATGATAATCACTTAACATTTTTTTTTTTCGCCAGAGCATCCATACATTTGACAGACAGAGACAGAGAGATGAAGACAGAACCCCCCAATGGGGCATGATAATGCTACAATCTCTTCTCTTCTATTTCTCCATCTGTCTGGATTTGAGGCACGTGTACACATGCCTGCATGTTTTTGTTTTGTTTTGTTTTAGACATTTTTGCTATAGGGTGCATGTGCTCACTGGAGAACAGAGACAGAAAGTGAGAAATCACCCCCCCAGGGGGGATGGCCATGCTACAATTCCTTCTCTATGCTTCTCTTAGAATTTTGAAAAGCTGCAATTCTTCTCTTAGAATTTTGGGTCACACTGCAATCCCTTCTCCTCCATTCTCCTCTCGGGATCTTGGGCGCGCACACACACACACACACACACATGCCCAGCGTGAGTTTAAGCTACCAGCTGGGCTCCGAACCACAGTCGAGTACATGGGAGTCCAGAGACATAGCCATTATGCTAACTGCTAGTCCTGGCCTTTTTTTTTTTTTAAGAGGTTTTTGCCTTAGAGTACATGTGCTTGCTGGAGAGATACAGAGAGAGACAGTGACAGGGAAAGTGAGAAATCTCCCCTCAGGGGAATGGCCACACTGTAATCCCTTCTCCACTTTTCTCTTGGAATCCTGGACACGCACACACATGTGCTCACTGTAACTGTCAAGCCACCTGGTCTAGGACTTGAACTGTGGTTGACTACATGGGAGTCCAGTGACATAACCACTGCGCTATCTGCTGGCCCCTGTCTTTTTCTTTCTTTTTTTTTTTTTTTTTTTTTTGAGAGGTGTTCGCTATATGGCGTGTGCACTCACGAGAGAGACAGAGAGGCAGAAAGGCAAGAAATCACCTCCCGAGGAGGACAGCCACACCACAGTCCTCTTCTTCCATTCTCCTCTCAGGATTTTGGGCACTCACACACATGCACCCAGCGTGAGTTTTAAGCCACCAGATCCAGGATTCGAACTGCAGCTGACTATGTGGGAGTCCAGCGACTTAACCATTACACCATTTGCCAGTTCCTGCAACTTATTTTCAAATGGTTCAGCAAAAGGTAAATACACACAGGGCTGGATCCATGGCCTGGTGGTTAAGGGAGCTTGATGCCCTACGTCTGACATGCAGGTTGAATCCCAGCACAGGGGACTTGAAAAACACAACAGGCATATGTGCTAGTGCCCCAAATTCCAATGAGATAGAATAATGAGATTGTGGTATCAACGTGTCCCTTGTTGAAGGGTGTTTTCTATCTTTCCTCTCTCTCTAGTGAGCGCGTGCACCCTGTGACAAACTGAAATAAATAAATGAAAGAGATACATACACAAATACATGGATAAAATGTTTCAAATTCATAACCTCTCAGTAATACTAAAAAATATTCCTTATAAAAAGCTGGAGAAGGGACCAGTAGTTGGTATAATGGCTGTCGCTAGACTCCCACGTAGTTAACCGCAGTTCAAATCCTGGACCCAGTGGTTTAAACTTGCGCCAGGTGTGTGTGTGTGTGTGTGTGTGTGTGTGTGTGTGTGTGTCCAAGA